CCCAATAACATTATTATCTTGTAAGGCAATTGATGATTTTATAGCTTTACCAAATTACGAGGACAATGATTTTTATTGTCCTTGTAACCCCGCATATCAAAGAACGGCAACAATTGCGTTGAATGGTAGTTATAATCATATCAATAACAACAACAACAATGATAATAATAATCAACAACATTATTTAAATATACCTCCATACAATTACTTATTTAAATCACCACCTAGTTACGAAGCATCAATTTCTGGTGATTTATAATTTTTTTTTTTAATTTTTCAAAGAAATATAACATTTAATTTAGATCTTTCTTTTTTTAATTTGTTAAATATATATATTTGTAAATAATATTAGATAGTTATTAATAAAAAACATTATGTGATATTATAAATATAATAATAATTTTTTTTATAAATATGCACAATATTCACATTTATTTTATACAACACTTTATTATAATAATTCAATTAAAAAAAATATATTAAATCTAAAATTTTTTATATTAAAGAAATTTGTTTAGAAATTTTTCTTATTTACATCATTTGAAAATTCCGAATAATTTTTTATTTGTCGTGTACGCCGATTTATAACTCTTTGATATTTATATGTAAGATTTACAATATCCTAAAGAGAGATAAATAATAATGTAATATTATTAGTATTTAATAATAACAATGATATTATTGTTGCTTATTCAAAATACCTTTAAAACAATAAATAAACATCCACCAATTATATTACGATGAAAACTGTCGGGTATCCTTGAACGGATAAATGAGAAATGGCCAAGCAAACTATTTAATAATAATAAAAATTTATGAACTTTAGATTATGACTATGATTATAAAAATTATAATTATCTTACCCTCCAACCATGGCCGAAATAACTGTATATTAAATTATTAAATTATTAAATTATAAAATATATGTCAGTCTGTTTTTCTTAATCTTTTCGTGTTTGGAGAAAATAATTATTACTAACATGGTAAAAATAATGCTCCAACAATTTTACGTCCTGCATTATTTCTATCCAAACGATCTGACATATCTTGATCATATTGCTGTTGTACATTATTATTATTGTCATCCTCTCCATTTTCGTTTTGTGTTGAAAATGTGTATGGTTCGATCTGTCTTCTCCAGTTTAATTCCATCCTACCAAATAAATATTGATACGTCCAATTATATATTATCCTGATCCATGGTAAAAATGAAATCGTGAGTGACGGATTTGGTGGCATTGTCATTCTCAAATGATTCATCCTAACTAAAAACATTGGGATAAGTGGCATAACTGGATCTGCAATACGAGCTCTTGAAAATATAAGTAAAATTGGTACTAAAGGGAGAGAAACCTATATACATACATACATACATTATATATTGATTGAAATTGAAATGCCTTTAAAAAAATTATCTTATCACTCAGAAATAAATAAATTTGTTTGTTTTAATTATTTACATAAGTCCTCCAACTCCATGGTTCATTTAAAAGATGGTGACCATTTTCAAGACCAAGCATTGTGACCATTGCATATGCTCTACAAAAAAAATTTAATTTTTAATTTTCAAACATTGAAAAATAATAGTGGTAAATTGTTTAATAAGAAAAATTGATAATACCCATAATGAACATTTGTAATTACTACTGCAAAGGTTCTGAACAAACAGGCAAATTTACATCCATTATTTGTTGATAAGTGACATTTCCAACATCGCCATCTTCCTGATCTTCTAACAATGTTTCTTTACCAAAATAAGGTAATTCTTGCGTGACAGGAATCCTTGTATTAGTAAAGTTTTGGCCTTTTGAAGTGCAAGTTGTTTTTTCAATTATCTGAATTTTGACACCTTTGACTTTTAATTTTTTAACATTTGGACAAATCTTCATGTCGATTGGTATTGATTGACCAAGTGAAAAAGCTTTTTTTGGTAAGGATATTTCGTATGATAGTAAATCATTGAAATCTCTTGCAAATCCAATTCCCTGAGAATTTATATGATCAGGTATTGTACGTAAAATTTCGATATTTTGTTTTATCCTTAAATTTGATTTTAATCCAGATCTAATGGCTTTGGCTGTTAAAAAATAATTTACAGAACCTAAATCTGTATTTAATGTTTCTGGTAAATGACCCGGTAAATATAATTCAAATGGATAGGTGTAAACTCCTATTTGTAATAAGTTACTGTTATTATCATTACTGCTGTCGCCGTGAAATTTTTTATTGAATTTTAAAAAGTTAAATTTATTAAGTGATGGTGAATTTAATGAAGAAGTTGAAGATGTGGGTGGTGATTTGTTTGCAGTAATAAATTTCCAATTATGTGAAAAAACTTCTCTCTCTTCTATGACTGTTTTTTTATCTATTTTTTACAATGATGATGATGATGATAATAATAATAATTCATTAATATGATGATTTATGTAATCAATGCTGATAATTATCATCTACCATCATTAATATTTACCTCCGGACCATAAAACCTTGGTAGTTCCAACAAATTTCATTTCTAATTTTTTGATTTTTGTAGGCTTATTTAAATGTAATATCAATTCACCTCTTAAAATAGATCCAACAGCTTCTTCAGGTACATCTCTAAAAAATACAATCGGTTCGACTAGCTTTATTTCTAAATCATTGCTTTTTGATTTATGAATACTGCCATCATCAGAATCATTACAATAATTTATAGAATTTATAATTTCATCAGGGGTTATATTAATAAATGAGATTTCTGATGTATTTGTTGAAATTGTATTTAGATTTGTTGTTGATGGATTTCTTGATTGAAATGGTGATTCGAAAGGTGTTATTGTGGTTAAAGATGTCATCATCATTTTGACTCTTTAAATTATTGTAAAAGGTTGTTATTGGCAAGTATTTTTAAATTTTCGCTCAGCGAATAAAATTTTACTGGTTTATAAAATTAAATTTTTCGATAGGAAAATTTCTTTTTTTATTGAAAAATCAAACCTTTATGCTATATATATATATATATTTTTAAATTTTTTTATTTTCCAAAAAGATAGTTTTTTTTTTTTTCGGAAGATTCGAAACGGGAATAATTAAATTCTTCTTTCCTTAAAATATTAAAAACGCTAAATATATATTTTTTAATTCGCCTTTAACGGCCGAAAAATGGAACTGTGTGAACTTTGTTTGTAAATTTATTAATCCAATTATAATATATTAATATGGAAATACTAAAATTCGAAATTTTTTTTTATTTGTCATTGTTAGTCTTTCAAATATCTTAAAACGTTAATATTGTTTTGTTTGCCTCCACAGATCTTCTCCATAACAATAATAACAATATGATCCTTTCCAGGTGTGTAACGTAACAATTAAAGATCATTGGACGTGATTTTTAATTTTGTATCACAATTAATTTCCTTTAACAAACTTCTCTCGCATTGAACCTATAACCCCTACATAGTAATAGACAGCCTATAAGGTATCTCAGGTGTAAACCTGAAGTCGCAAGCGACTCTTGTAATATACTTTTATAGTATATAATGAGTTCCATTTGTCAATGGTGAAATTGCAAGTGCACATCTAAAAGGCGTCCGAGAGGTTTTGTGAGAGGTCAGTCACATTTGTCTTGCGGTTTAGGTTAGATATTTCTAAAATCGTTCGTTGATCATTAAAGCCATCTATATATCTATTATATTATTATTATTATTATATATCCGCCCTGCCTACCATCAAAGTGTTAAAAAAATCTAGAACTTTACCAAGTAGTAATTGATTAAATTTTGTTTATTTATGGAAAATTATATTAAGTAAATAAAATTCTATTTATATATACAAACTTCATGATCTCATGTGATGGATTGATGGCGTGCACTAAACGCCACAGAATATGGATAGATCCGACGTTCAAGCTATTCTTATATAGGACAGGTATTAACAAAAATAATCTTATTAAAATATGTGTGTGTTACAATTAGTATTGCAAAATTCTAGACATCAGAACTATTATTATTTCTACTACTTTTACTATTTTCATCACCAACACCATCATCACTCACTATCACCGTTATGACTTCAATAGCATTATCATTTCATTCGTGTGTTAATTCTGATAAAGAAAGAATTGACTTTGCAAATTTTTTTTATGCATAAAATCGTTTAATATTAATGATCGATTTTTTAAGTTTAATGGTGAGGGTGAGGATGATATATTAATATTCTCGCAGACAGGCACATCATCTTTACATTTTTTAAAGCCGAAAATATTTATTTTTGTTGAAACTTAGCCACTACGTCTAGTTTTTCCAAATGTAACCAAATATTGTAATAAAGGTTATAAAGAAAAAAAAATAGTTGCACTTAATTTCGAATGTGCATGATTTTCAAAAATTATGCGCCACTGGAAGGTAAATCAATTCCTCCAAAAATGGAAATATAAGACCAAAAATGAGGATATTTGATTTTTTTCATTGATTGACTAACCGAATATAATAAATTAAAGAGCGAATATTCAGTGAATATTTCAGTAAATAACCGATTGAATTGAAATGAATTTTCTCATGTACAATTTAATTCATTTGTTGTTTAATTATTCCACTTCCATTCATTTTTAAAATGGAATAAAAACACTCAATCACTATAATAGGAAAAGTAATAATACAATAACGAGAGGAGAAAAGCTTCTGCAGCTCGTATTTTGAAGAAAAGCAAAGTAAAGGGTGGTTTTAAGGAGCCAAGTTGGATATTAAAGATAATCAATTCTACATAATAAAAATAGATCTCTGGCTTTGCCTAAACGTTTATGTGCACCTGCAACGTCCGCTCCAAGTGTGAGAGATTATTTAGTCAAGCTGTAAAAGAACAAAACTATGGTTTTTTTGATTGATAATTTTGGTAGAATGTAAAATGATTAATAAATTTAAAATTTTTTGTTAACAATGAATGAATAATCATTCATTGAATAATTAATTTAATGATCAAATGGGGCATGCTTGCAACAAATCTAGACAACTTTGTCTGGTTTTGTTGCAGTATGCCCCAAATGAATATTCAGTGTACGACCCCTCTCTGCTTTGACGACGATCATCACTATGAATGCTAAAGTTTTGGCGAAGCATGTCACATGTAATTCAAAATAAAAACAATCAATTCCTGAACATATCCAAGTATTCTCTTATGTGACCCTATGCTTATTATTATTATCATTGTAGTAATGGCTGGCTCCGTAATTCCGTAATTATTACTATTACTATTACTATTATGGAGTTGCGGTTTTACCAATCCGTAATAGTAATAGTAATTAATCACTATTGCGGGAAGAAAGTTTAAAAACCGTAATTGGATATGTAATTATTCATTACAAAGAACTCGTGCATCAATGTACCTGATTGTTAAAATAAAAATTTCAGATTTTTAAATAGTAGTAGTTTTCAGTTAATGAATGGCTTATACATAGGCAACCCCGTTAATCCGAACCCCGTTAATCCGAAAACCCTGTTAAAATGAATAATTTTTAAAACACCAAAGCCAAAGATATGTAAATTACCCTGTTAATATGAATGTCACTAATAAAACTTTATAAACTGTAAACCGAAGAAATTTTTAATTTTTTTGAAGCCATTTATATGTAAAAGTTGCCCCGTTAATCCGAATTTTTTATAAATCGAAGATTAATAATACTGAAGTGAAATAAAAATTGGGCCAATAATAATAATATACAAGTTATACAAATGTTGTAACATCTAAACTTGATAAGTCGGACATTTATTTATATTATAAAGTACTTTAAACAATTGATTGCTGCATCCGACTTATTGAGTAATTAAAATTTTGGAATGGAGCGTTTGGATATGAAATTCTGATTGGCTAATTTGAATATGTTCACATAAATTTCATTTTCACGCACAACATGTACAAAAGTTTAATAACCAGGGTAGACTTCCCCTAATGCAAACAAGAGAAAAAAAAATCTACTGAAAAAGAAGTTGGGGCATCAAAAAGAAAACATATGCCTATAACAATTTCACAAAAAATAGAAATATGCATTGAAAAAAATAAAGACCCAAACATAAAAAATAACCAGCTTGCATCTACTGTTTCTGAAATTCTAAAAAAGAGTGATTATTTTTATCATTGAATCTAAATCAATTCACTGCCAGAAAATGGATAAAGGAAATTATAAATCCTAAATTTTTAAATTTATTAACTCGTTTGTCCGAATTAATTTATGACTCTAAAACCGAAGAAAAGTTCCTGCACAATTACCTTCAGTTTGCCTATGTAATTTGGATACAAAATTCTGATTGGCCAATTTGCGTGAATTTCACAACATAATAATAATAATAAAGGTAAAAAATTAAGACTTAACATTCAGAAAGTCAAAGTTTATCCAACCTTTATATACTATAAAACAGTTTAACTAAGTCGTGGGTTGCCATTGGCAAGAAATTAGGTGAGTGGTGTAAAAATTTGAATAACCACAGCATAACAGTTAATAATAATAATAATATTATTATTATTATGTTTATAAAATCAGTAGTAGTAGTAGCCGAATTATTTACAAAATTTAATCAAAGTCAATGTTTTCACAAAAAGAAAATCTTCGGTTTAAAAAAACCTTAATAAAATCGGCTTACAGAGATAAATTTAACAAGTAGATAATACATCGGTTTATCATGTATATTTGTTTTATTAATTGATTTTTTTAAAAAAATAAAATAAAAACCAAAAAATTTTACGATCCTCGTTAAAAATTATTTACTTCACTTGGAAGCAATTATCAACAGTATGCTGTGACAAGAAGAAAAGGAAACAGCAGCAGGTGATTCTACAACTACAACAACTAATAAGAAGGGACAAGAGAAACTGAAATCAAAAGAAAAGATCTTAAAGATAAAAATTGTAATTTTTTGTGAACAACCATTTATCAAAAAAAAAACTCAAGTAAAAACATGAATATGTGTCAAGGTCTTTGTGGCTTAAGATATATTAATCATGTCATCAATAGCCCAGAAAGTTTTAATGATGGTAAAAGATCTGAAGATGTTACAAAACAAACTTTTCCTCAAAATTTCCTGAAAACAAATTTTTTTCTTAATAAAATAAAATAGAAAGCATTATTAGAAGCTGAAGCAACTTAGTATTTAGACAAAGAAAATTTAGCAATTTACTATATCCAATATGAAAAAAATTATATAATGAAAATGCTATATGCGATAAGTGTAAATAACTAGAATGTAATCAATAAAGTAGCTTTGTAAAAATTTTCATTTTGATTTGTTAATTTTGAAGCTAAAAGGCCTAACTGGTAAATTTTTATTAATAAAGTAAATAATATTGCCAAATATATTCCTTGCTAATAATAATCAATTCCTTACTTGTCCAAAGAATGTTACAAGGAAATTGTGAGTTTCTTCTGGAATAAAATGGTCAAAATCATCCAATGACAAGAGATATGAATTATCAGGAATCTGTTTTGTCAAAAAAACTTTTAGGTGTTATATCCATGATTCCTTTTAGTGCCAAAGGATCTTGATTTCTGTTCTTGAAATTTTTAAAAATGTTTAAAGTGTCCTTAGTTATGCTATCAATATGTATTTCCTTATTGAGAATACCTTGGATTTTGATCTGACCAAATATCATCAGTGTATTAGTCCATAATTTCCAAAAAAAAAAAAGAAATATATTGAAAATGTACATCATTTACTTCCTGGTCCTGATCATCAAGTTATTTGTTAAATGTTATGACTCTCAGTTGTCCAGTTCATAATTTCTCCCTTTTTTTGTTAATAATCAAATATTTTAAGTATGTGATTGATTTAAAATGTAAGATAAAGATGAAATGAGCAAATTACTTTAGGTTTTT